TACATACCCATTTATCTACTCACCTAAGTTTTCTAGCTGCTGGGTTGACAGGAGCTGGGGAGGAAGCGGAGCTGGGCTCGAACCGCTGAAGTGTCGACCATTTCTGGCCGGCAATTTTCAGCGTCATTAATCCGCTGCGCCACCGCATCCCCTTGTTTTCTTCTTGTTTTGATATTATCTTCAAATATAATATCACCCTCACCTCCAAATTGTGAACACCTTCACTTGCTGATATGACCAATCTGATATTAAATGCACAAGAGGAGCACAGCCTGCTTTTTTCTGATCATTTAGAAGGTAAGGACCAATAAAACCACATTTAACAGGCTTCAGGTGCAACAGTTACTTCACTACTAAACATTTAACAGAAATGAAGGAAACTTGGCAATACTTCTTGGAGATCTCAAATGTGCTGACTAAGGAGGAGATATTTTCTTCTGAGTTAATACAATTATCAGTTACTGGAGGCATTATATCAGCTCATCAAGACATATAAAAAGAAAAACATAAAACCACATAAGAAACAGATTTTTCCCAGTGAACAAGAGTAAGTTCATTGTCCCACGGGAACATTTCTAAGTACTTTTTTGCCTACCGCTACCAATAATCTCTCATATCTAATAATTTTTTGCCCAACAGCGGGTATATTCTGTGAACTTTTATTAATCAACAACTCATTTACATGAATATTGCATAGATACATCATGTAGAATGCCTTTGAAATATTTTTATCGTGGTTGTGACTGCCCCCCCCCAAAAAAGCACAAGACAGTCAAAATAAGCAGCCAAACTCACAGGTACGCAAAATCTTTTGGGTGAGCGAAAAAGGAACAATAGCCTGCTACTAAATCCTTTTTCTAGCAGCGTGAATGGCAAACCTTGCACCAAGTGAGGGTATGGTTTTCTCCTGTGCATCAGGCAAACAATATTAGCTAGAGAGTTGGCATGGAAGAAGGATCTTCCAAACCGACTTGTCCTGTGCAAGATGGGAGTTGTACGTAGGTCATTCTAACTATCATTGTTAGGGGACAGTTGTTTCAGCACTAACCAAGCTTTCTTCCCCATCTAGTAGAAGAATACATTAACCATCCTCAGGATTTTTTCTAGATTGCTTTCATTGACTCAAAAGCGCATTTGATTCAATCCCCAGAGAAAGGCCGTGGGAGAAATTGATTGAATCCTCTATTGATTGACAACATTTGTTGCTAATGACAAAAATACTGGAAAATAATTCAGTGCAAGTTTGCTGAGATGCTTTAGATTACCTTACACTCTTAATCTCCTCCCCCAAAAAGTTAAAACAAGGATGTATATTTTCTTTTAAAAGCTATATTAATTCTTTGGGACAAGTCCTGAGAAAATTTGAATTTCACCCTGCTCCCCAATGCTGCCCAACAGACCCACTTTAGTCCTTTCACATTTCTGAAGATGTAACAATTTCCAAATATTTGTTTGTCGCCCAGCAGCTGTCCCATTTAACCAGACAACAGTAGGAAAACAACCAGGATTTATTCAGCAATTGCATACCATAAAAATTTGATCAAACATGGTGCCTCACCAGTAAACAGGCTGAACGAAGAACCCCTAATACAAAGGAACTTAAATTCTTACCCCAAAGAATATGCAACCATGTCATGTTTTCCATGGTGAAATGAGGTTATCACAAAAAGTAACAGTTTTCACTACTGACCTTTGGGTTTCAAGACTTCCCTTGAGTGTCATGAACTTGCCATTATATTTTCCAGAATGTATTTAGGATTCTCCCATTAATAGTTAGCCTAACTAATGTCATCTTTAAGTTTCCTAACACAACAGTGCAAACTGGTCTGAAATGGAGTCTCTGAATCCATACTTTCTATTGCGGAGAGAA